TGTCCGTGCAAGCATGGGAGGGTGTGGGGGGCCTGTACATGCATGGCAGGGGCATGCATATGTCTGGACGTGTGGGGGGCAGGAGATTTGTCTCCACTGCCCAGTCCTGGCAAGGTCACGGACTGGGACCGATCCACAGACCGGGGGTTGGGGATCCCTGCTGTAGGCTACACATGCCATCTAAGATAAATTGATTCATTTTCTGTCCTGACTCTGCTGCTCTAAAATTGTCTTGTTTTTAAAAAATTGCAAGTGATATAACACCATTTTTCTGTCATTTTCAACCGTTAGTCAATGGACCACCGAATTGGGTATATGTCACTAGGCAAATGTAAGACAGTATTTTAAAAGGACTTGAATTGTTCTTGAAAAACTAGGGGGAAACCAGCTATAAGCCACATAAAACTGGAGACAATGGTTACAATAGAGAAGACATTAGCTAAGTGATTCATCAGTAAACAGCTGTGGAGAAAAAATAGAAAAGAAAAAGCATGTGATTTATCACTAAGCTTTTTTTTTAATGGTACAAATGTGGTGGCCATGCAGTGAGCATTGCACCCAAAAACCTGAACTGTTACAGAGTAAATAAATCAACAGCAACATTCACATGTGCCAAAACAATAAGAATTGAAGTGATACAGGGATCGGATAATTTTTAAAAGGCTATGCTGGAGAGGTGGGAAAAACCTGATTGGCTGGCCAAACAAATCAGTGTTACCCATGCATCATGTGTATAGAAATTTATAAAACTATTTAACTAATGGCAGAATCAATATAACTGGGGTTCTTTTGGCATGTGTGATTACAGCCTTAGTCTGTGTGGCGTGTATGTGTGCATGCATGTGTGTATAAGTCTATGTGGTGATAATACTCTCTTCATTGCTTTCCCCTTTTTGTTTTTCTCTTTGTTAGATAGAAGAAACTCTCCGATTTAATAAAAACTGGAAATTGTCTGGGATCCAGAAGATCTATTATAATACTGTAGAAAAAGTCCTGGGAGGGTTTGGGACAATCCCAGGGAAGCTGATCTGGCCAACCAGCCTGACAACAACTCCAGATGGCGACTTGGCAGTAAAGGACAGTGGCACAGGACAGATCCAGATGTACAGTGCTGATGGCCAACCTAAGCATAGATTTCCGTATGGATTTGAACCCATTAAGGGGCTGGGAGATGTCACCTGCATGAAAAATGGTGTGCTGCTTGTTACCAATGGGACCAAAGCAATCCAGCTCTTCACGAAAGATGGTGAACTGATCCACGAGCTGAAATCTCCCAAAATCTCTTGGCCTCATTCGTATGGGATAGCTGTCCTGAAAGCCAATAGGATTGCTGTGTCAGATTGGTCCAACGCAGGGAAAGTTAACATCATTGGAGTGGACTGGAGAATGAATGCCGTCCTGAAAACGCACTCAATAGAAGGATTCCATAGGCCAGTACGCGTGGCTGTCAATAAGGTATGATAGGATGCTTGCAATCCATTTACTGATTGGTACCAAAGAATGAAGCAAAGCCTTAGACTAAATGGATAAAGCAATGTGTTGTTGTTGTTTAGTCGTTAAGTCGTGTCCGACTCTTCGTGACCCCATGGACCAAAGCACGCCAGGCCCTCCTGTCTTCCACTGCCTCCCGGAGTTGGGTCAAATTCATGTTGGTAGCTTCAGTGACACTATCCAACCATCTCATCCTCTGTCGTCCCCTTCTCCTCTTGCCTTCACATTTTCCCAACATCAGGGTCTTTTCCAGGGAGTTTTCTCATTAGATGGCCAAAGTACAGTGGTGCCCCGCATAGCGACGATAATCCGTGCAGTAAAAATTGCTGCAAAGCGATTTCGTCGCTATGCGGTTTTAAAAAGCCCATAGGAATGCATTGAAACCCCTTCAATGTGTTCCTATGGGCTTAAAACTCACCTTTAAGCGAAAATCCTCCATACGGCCACCATTTTCACTGCCCGGTAAGCGAGGAATCCAGGCGAAAACACAGCAGGTGGCCATTTTTTTTTAACCCGGTGGCCATTTTGGAACCGCCGATCAGCTCTTGAAAAATCATCGCTATGCGATAATCGGTAAGCCAAACAGCTTACCGATCATCGCAAAGCGATTTTTTCCTATCTAAACCATTGCAATGTGATTGCTTTTGCGATCACAAAATCTTCATCGCTATGCAGATTCGTCGTTAAATGGGGCGCCCGTTAAGCGCAGCACCACTGTATTGGAGCCTCAGCTTCAGGATCTGTCCTTCCAGTGAGCACTCAGGGTTGATTTCCTTCAGAATTGATAGGTTTGTTCTCCTTGCAGTCCAGGGGATTCTCAAGAGTCTCCTTCAGCATCACAATTCAAAAGCATAAATTCTTTGTCGGTCAGCCTTCTTCATGGCCTAGCTCTCACTTCTGTACATCACTACAGGAAAAACCATAGCTTTGACTATTCGGACTTTTGTTGGCAACATGATGTCTGTACTTTTTAAGATGCTTTCTAGGTTTGCCATCACTTTCTTCCCAAGAAGCAGGCATCTTTTAATTTTGTGGCTGCTGTCACCATCTGCAATGGTCATGGAGCCCAAGAAAGTAAAATCTGTCACTGCCTCCATGTCTTCCCCTTCTATTTGCCAGGAGGTGAAGGGACCAATGGCTATGATCTTATTTTTTTTTTTATGTTGATCTTCAGACTGTTTTTTGCACTCTCCTCTTTCACCCTCATTAAGAGGTTCTTTAAGTCCTCCTCACTTTCTGCCATCAGAGTGGTATCATCTGCATATCTGAGGCAGTTGATATTTCTTCCGGTAATCTTAATTCTGTTTTGGGATTCCAGCCTTTTGCATGATGTATTCTGCATATAAGTTAAATAAGCAGGGAGACAATATACAGCCTTGTCGTACTCCTTTCCCAATTTTTAACCAATCAGTTGTTCCATGTCCAGTTCTAACTGTTGCTTCCTGTCCCACATATAGGTTTCTCAGGAGATAGATAAGGTGGTCAGGCACTCCCATTTCTTTAAGAACTTGCCATAGTTTGCTGTGGTCCAAACAGTCAAAGGGTTTTGCGTAGTCAATGAAGCAGAAGTAGATGTTTTTCTGGAAAGCAATGTGTGCAGTAAATAATTTCAAAACTGGTAACATCTGGGAGATACAGAATGGGAGGCATGTACTCCTTTTGTACTCCATCAGTTCCTTCCATCTTCTCTTGACATTCTGGTTGAGGATGTTGAGAGCATCTCACAGATCTTTTACCCCAGCCAGACATACTGTAGTACATGGCTCAGTCTTGGAGTCCTTGTGCTAGACAGAACTTTGATCTGATTGAGTGAGGCAACTGAAGGAGAAGAGAAAAACTGGGACTGCTATTTCTGAATAGTTTAGAGAGGGGAAAAAGCACACATTTCAATGAAGTTTATTGGTTTGCTAAACTTCTTTCCTACTTCCAGTGAACTCAAGGTGAGAAGCATGATTCTCCCATTCCTCCCTACTTTATTCTGAGAGGCTAGGCTAATAGTACACGAGTTTGTACAGCCAAGCAGGGATTTGAACCTGATCTCCCGTATCATAGCCCAATAGTCTAACCATTATACTGTATAACCCTGGCTTGAGTCCAAGCTAGTTTTGAGCTGGGAGCCTGAGTAACGGTCGGGAAAGGATCAGAAAAATTCTGTGTACAAGGGTCAGGTGGAGGAGGCGGAAGATATCCCACTTTGGCTCAATACCCTTCAGGAAGAAATTGTGAAAAAGTGTCTAAGGTCCACCCCAATGAAATTATTCAAATCATATTCCAGCCAGTTCAGAAGAGATTCGGAACAGTGGATAGAATTTTGGGCTAATAAACAGTATGTGAACTGTGCCAGTTGACCTTGGACCAGCAACTCACTCTTAAGAGTTTGCAGAGCTCTCAGATCCCCCCAAATGCCATCTAATCCAGTCTCCAACACTGCAGGACATCTACATCTGAATCATGTCTAGAGATGGCCATCCAATCACTGTTTAAAAATCTCTAATGAAGGAGAGTTTACTTGGTCGTCCTGTTGTCAAAATAAAAGGGTTGTGCCTATTTTAAATTCTAAAAATTACGATTGAAGCATGCATTGTTTTTTCTTAGTTTCGTATAACATAAAATCTCTTCTTTGATGTTATTTTCTCATATACGCCTTACCCCCTCAGAATGATGAGATGTTAGTGACGGAGTTGTTTTTTCTTAGTTTCATATAACATAAAATCTCTTCTTTGATGTTACTGTATTTTCTCATATATCCCTCACTCCCTCAGAATGATGAGATGTTAGTGACGGAAGGGCAGCTCTTTGGAAGGTTCCAGGGTTGCTGCATCAAGGTGATCGACAAGGAAAGGAGTGTGAAGAAGACCATCGGCCCCCGATATGGGAAAGCATTTACTTTCGAAAACCCTTCTGGCATCTGTGTGGATTGTAACGGGAACGTCTTTGTCTCTGATGAAGGGCAGAATTGCATTGTGATGTTCAACCCCGACTCATCCCTCTGCGCCATCATAGTGAGCGAGGGCTTGCAAGGCCCAAGTGGTCTCTCCATGCTGGACCATGGGCTGGTTGCTGTTGCAGACTGCTACAACCATTGTGTCAAAATCTGTAGGTACAAATAAATGCAGTGACATCTCTGGGCTGGAAGCAAATAAAACTCGATATATACACCAGTGTGTGTGTGTGTATGTGGGGGGGCAAATTTGTTCCCTGTAAGGGTGTTTACCCACCTCCTGTGCCTAAGTGCATGAATGGGCATCCACACATAAGCACTTCACATACACGGTCTTTGTCTCTGTTGATGGTGAAACCTTCTGGCAAAAATCAAGATGGTACTTCCCTTCTGCTGCCCAATTCCATCTTCAAACTGTGACCAGAGTGGCAGCTCAACCTTACTTTCAATACTGGTGATAGGGCAATTGTGTAAGTGTGCTGCAGAATAAGTCACATGACATACTCTGTTTCCCTGAAAATAAGACCTAACCTGAAAATAAGCCCTAGTATGATTTTTCAGGATGCTCGTAATGTAAATCCTACCCCCCAAAATAAGCCCCAGTTAAGTGAAACCCCACCTTCCACCATTGTGCAGCATTGTGCAGCAACCACAAAAAGACTGTATGTATTTGAATAAATGTAGATTGTTCTATGTGAAAAAATAAAACATTTTCTGAAAATAAGGCCTAATGTGTTTTTTTGGAGCAAAAATTAATATAAGACCCTGTCTTATTTTCAGGAAAGCATGGTATATACCTTTATACACCCAGTGCCTGTATGGCAATCTCAGGGTTGAACAGGAATGCATATTTCCCTATAATTCCCCCTGCCAGAGTGGGGTTTTCTCAGAGATATGCGCTTGACCTCTCAGACTTGCAGATTAAACCCAGCTTCACTTCACTTTCCAGTGACCAAACACAAAACAAAGCATGCTAAATGCAAGATCCAGTAGGTGATGAAAATTACAATCTTTCACCACTTGGGGAAACACCGCTGCAAAAATGTGATAAACATAGTGCACATTTTGATCCTCACTCTGCCTGTTCATTAGGCTGGCCCCTTCTCTAGGGCTGTTACAACAAGAGATCACATCACTACAGATGGACTCCACAAGATATACAAAAGTGCTTCCCTTTCCACTAGATGAGATTTCCAAAATTTCAGAATGTCGTCTTTACATGGGCCAAATTTCTTTTGCTCTGCATTTTCTCCTAGTGATGTATAGAATAATTGGTTAATTCAAAATTGCATGTTTTCTCTATAGTGCTACAAGTATCCACCATATCTCTCAGCTCTCTTTGCTGTAGCTGTTGCCCACTGTTTTAATTCTTTCATAGTTCCAACTATTGTTTTTCTTTCTAGGTCATATATTTTGCATAGTCTGGCTTTTTTTCATTTTTAAGTTTTGAATCTTTGGGGCATTTTAAGTTGCTAGTGTCCACACATAATTTATTTTTTTTCTTTCTAGCCAAATTTTCTATTTTGGAGTGCCGAGAGCTTTCTGGTTTTTTTGTTTGTTTGTTTGTTTGTTTTGCAGCTTGTAACCAAGTTTCATGGTTATTATGGTAGTTGTGCTATACATGAGCTGGTTTGTTTCCTTTAGCGTGTTGGTTGCGATTGTTCTGATGACTACATTTGTATCATTCAGTAGATCTTTTACTGGTTTACTTTGTAATTGGTACAAATAGGAGAGCCCTTGTTTTTCTGTGTTCTGGCTAATATGGGTTTATTTATGTATTTATCTATCTATCTATCTATCTATCTATCTATCTATCTATCTATCTATCTATCTATCTATCTATCTATCTATCTATCTATCTATCTATTTAGCATCTACCTCTACCCTCTATTTGTCTTCCATACTATGGTCATTCTTCTATGTTGATTTTTCTTTTGCCACTTTTTCTAGTTCTTGCAATTCCAGTTCTGGTCCGGATGATAAACCTTCTCTGGTCCATTAATCTTTGTTCAGTTATGTCACTACAGTACTTGGGTGTTTCCTTTTCCATCATTCTTTTTTGAAAACCACGAGCTGTTGGGTTTGCCTCATAATAACATTTCATAATTTTTTGATTTTCGGTGAAAGTCCAAGTTTTGCATGTATGTTGTTCCAGTAGCTTTGCAGTAGCCTATCCTGGTTCCTCAACATAGTCTGCTGAGCCCTGTAGCCCATTTGTTACCAGATGTGCAGGGGCTATAGCATCTGATGCGCTCCTTGTTGACCCAGGTGACGACTGATCCGGTATGGATTTCTGTTTATTTCCTCTCATCATATCTGATGGTTGGTGGAAACAGTGGGTCTGGCCTCTCAGCTGAGACCTTTCTGGCTTGGGAGACCCTTCACCATAGCTCTCAACCTCACTGAAGCACGCAATCCCCCCACCTCAATAAGGCCTATGCCCATGGAGGGGATGATGATGATAATTTTAAATATGTTTGGACAATACCATATGAGACTGATGGCCTTACTAGAGTGCATTGCCCATGGAGAACTATTGGTCTAGGACAGTGGTTCTTAACCTTTGTTACTCGGATGCTTTTGAACTGCAACTCCCGGAAACCCCAGTCAGGACAGCTGGTGGTGAAGGCTTCTGGGAGTTGCAGTCCAAAACTCCTGAGTAACCCAAGGTTAAGAACCAGTGGTCTAGGATATATGTGCGGGAGAGCGGAGAGAAACTAAAAGGGTACATTTTGGCTGCGTTCTGTTCCACTGCTGGTTTCAATCCCACTAAATCACTGGTTCTCAAACTTGGGAAACCACTACAACTCTCAGAAACCCCCACCAGCACAGTTGGTGGTGAAGGCTTCTGGGAATTGCACTCCAAGAACACCTGGGTTACCCAAGGTTGGGGACTACTGAACTGGCATGCAACTACTCAATGGCATGCAACCCTTGACATTTTACTTCTATGGAATGTGGCTTATAAGGAGTAAAAAAATATTGTCCACCTCTCTTTATATCAGTGACAGGTAACATATTGTCTTAGGTCATATATAGCCCACAGGGATAAACAATGAGCTGGTAGCAAGTATCTTATGCACACCTTTGACTAGTGATTAGAAGTAAAAAGTTGAGGATTAGACACACATTTTGCATGGAAATGAGTGCCAGTTTGGACACTGGTAGGACAAACGCTCTGATTTGCAGACCAGAAAGATTTTGCACAGAATCTGAGCTCTGGTTTGCAAACTCGGAAGGTTTCACACAGAACCTGAACAATCGTTTGCAGACTGATAAGGTTTTGAATGGAACAGATGCTCTAGTTTGTGGCCCCAAAAACCCACTGCATTGGATGGAAGCTTTCAGTTCTATGCTAGAAAGTTGTTCCATGTAATTCAATGACAAGTTGCGGCCCATTAATTTGCTGCGCTAGTGCTTATTTCTGAAAAGGAATTCGCTGTAGAATGAAATAGTCATCAAGCTAAAGTAAAAATCCCATTGAAATGCATTGAAAACCACTCAATGCGTTCCAATGGGCGAAATACCTCAGCATCCAGCGAAGATCCTTCATAGGGCGGCCATTTTCTGGTGCCTGTAAAGCGAAAAATCCATCCTAAACACAGTGGGCAGCCATTTTGAAAACCCAACACAGCTGTTTTGATCGTCGTAAAGCGAAAAATGGGTTCCCAAAGCACATACTTTGGGCACATCAGGAGAAGACAAAACTTCATAGAGTTCATAAAATAAGCCTTGTTAGGTCTTTAAGAAGAAGAAATGTAATTAACCATTGGTTAGTGCAGGTGGAGTTATTTACTCACTGCCTACATGACAAGAAGGACACAGCCATGTGGAATTAACTACTGTACCATGAGGTGAGCCACTAATTTGATTGGTTGGAGGCAGTATAAATTAAGAGGCTGGTTAACGTGCCCTTCACAGTTCTATTTTGATTATCATGCTTATGTTCTGTCCATTTGATTGCTGAATGTTTATGTTCCTGTAAGCACTATGTAAATATGTACAGTATGTAAATATTCTCTACACTTATTCCTGTGTCTTCCTTTGTGTCTTACTATGCTGAAGCTTCTGGTCCAAACCTTCGTAAGGAGAAAAATCATCTGCTGTGATTTAAAACTGCTAACAAGCCTTGAGTCTGCTGAACAGGATTAACAAGAGGACATTCTGGACCTTACATCTTGGTAGGTATTCATCAGTAGTCAGAGGTGACTGGATAGCACATAACACAGTATCCAAAAGTAAGGATGGCTTATACTTTTATTAATGGTGGGTTGTACCTTTGTTATAGACTACATTTTATCCTGACTTTTAATGCCATTTTTCGGGGTGCCTCTATTCCCAGTCAAAAATGAAAAGTGTGTCTACATAGGGCCATGGGGTTAAAAAAAATGGGGGGGGTGCGTGGGAAGCTTTGTGTAACAAAACTAGGAGACATTCTAACCCTTGCCAAAGGCGAAATCTGAAATTTGCACCTCCAATTTAAGTCCGCCACCACCATTCTGCTTCAAACTGGCCGGCCCATCTAGCTATGATTTCGGGACATTTCTATTTCTTAGGCCGCTTGTATTTCCTAAGAGCGCCTCCGTACAGTAACACGGCTACGTCTTCTCAAACTACACCTCGGTCTACCGACGAAGCGTCCTTGTTCGCCCTCCGTGAAAGCACGATAACTTTAAAACAAACAAACAAACCCCCACATTGGGGCTCCCATAGGCAAAAGACTGTGGGGAGGAGGGAAGACGAGGCTCCTTGCCTCCTCCTCCTCCTCCCCGGCCGCCATGCTGCCTCCGCCGCGCACTCCCACCACCTGCCACAAGCCACCATGTTGGGCTCTTCTTCGGCTTCTCTCCGAGTGTTTCTGAGGAGAGCGGGAGCTGCGTCCATCATCCGCGCCCCGGTAAATCCCGGGAAGGGGCACGAGGGGCCGTTTCTCCTGCAGCAAACCTTGGGGGGTCCAGGCTTTAGGAGTGGTGTTGCCAACTTTGGAAACTGACCTCTGTGACTGTGGCTTCAAGTTGCCGCAGTTTAGTTTCACTTGCGTGGAAATTATTTCACTCGCTGATTTAGTAGTACTGTATTCGGCGTGGAGAAGCAGGGTCGTTCTCTGTCTCATTAGCCCTGCCTCTCTCTGACTTGCAAATGCCGTTAAGATAGGGGCTTTCTTCGCTCCCATATGCTTGGGTGGAAAGAGGAGGGGTAGAGAGCGCCCGTCCCCTTAAAAGAGTTCCGTGAGATCTGCGGGTTTTAAAGGTAGAGAAATCTGCTAAAGGGTGGGGTGGGGAGTGATCCGTCTTTTTGAAATACAGTATGTTGTGCTTGTGGTGCACAAAACCCTCTGATACGATTTTGCAACGTTTGTGATGCGGCATGGCTTTGACTTCCAATGACTCCTTGTAGGGCATCTCCAGCATAATATTTTCTGCTGTTGGCATAATTTAAATAGGAAGCAAAATGAAAAGGGCTGACAAATTCTGTGCCCTTCTTTCCCCCGCCGCAAGTTGCTGTTGTGGTGATGTGTATTTTGATTTGTGCTGTTTTGTAAGGCTATGGAGGCAAATGTGAACGTTTGCGATTTCGAATCTAGATTTTAAAAAGTTTTGTGTTACATTTCTAGACATCACGGAAGATAATACTGCCTAAGAAAAATGTAGTGCTTCTGTCTGGTGCCTGAAGTTTATTACATCTTTGGAGGCCTCTTGTGAACGAATGCTTGGGATGAAAAGTGATGCAGAGTGGGTGATGCCATGCTTTTTGTGGTTCTGCAGTGAAAACTGCACTGCTGCTTCCCCATGCTATATTGTCATCTGCTGCTGAGGTGTACACTTTGCTTATTTGCTCTTGAGTAGAGGGTGAGTAAACTGTCTCTCTCCCTTCTGATGCTGTTGGACAGCAACTCCCAACAATCCTCATCAATAGCTATCCTGGCAAGAACTGATGGAAGTCCAGTGACATATGGATTGATATATGTTTCCCATCCCCCATACAGTAGTTTTGATCCAATAGTTTTAATTCCTTGATGGTGGATGGATGGATGCCTGCTATCCAGTGGACGAACAAATGTGTCACAGTTTCTGTTACCATTCTTGCCTTGGATCAGTTTAATGTAAAACAGAGAAAACAAAGAACACCTTGATTTCTAACTCATTTATTTGTGGGTACATCTCATTGATTGCAATGGAATTTACTTTGACGTACATCTATTTAGAACTGTAACTTATATCAGAATCATGTCACACATGGCAGTTATCTGACATGGCATAAGTAGGAAAAGACATGTACACACCCTGAGTATATTGTTGCTTGCAGCAATGTGCCCATTGCTGTGTGCATGCAGTTCTTCTATGGGTGTCTACTTTTGAAGAAAAACATTGGCCAGAATTTTGTTGGTAATTTGTAATTGTGTGAGGGAAATAATAGCTGGCTGGATAGCTCAATGGTTTAGGTATCTGGCTGCCAAGTTAGAGGTTGGGAATTCGATTCCCCACTATGCTTTATGGGAAAAGAGCCAGCCTGTGTAGCCTTGAGCAAGGGTCCCCTAAGAAGAAAAAAAATTGTAAGCTACTTCTGAGTATTCTGTACCTAGAAACTCCAGAAAAGGGCAGTAATGCTTCCTGTCATTATTTTATGCCCTGCAGGCTGGGATTATTAAGAACAGGGCTTGTCCTTCCTTTGTATGACAATTTTTTCAAGTATTTGAGTGCTGTCTTATCTCCCCTCAGTCTTTTTTTCTCAAGGCTAAACATGTCCAGTTCTTTCAGTCTTTCCTCACAGAGGTTGATTGCTAGTCCCCTGATCATCCTTGTTGCCTTCCTCTGAATTTCTTCCAGTTTGTTGTCATGCTTCTTAAAGTGCAGTGCCCAGAACTGGACACAGTATTCAAGATGAGGCCCAATCAGTGCCAAATGAAGAGGGACATAAGCCATGGTGGCAGATTGCCATGCTTTAGAGAGGTGCTGGTTATGGTCCTGCACATCCTCAGATATGGAACCAGTACTTCTTTAATGGATGGCAATGTGCCATAAGCAAGCATAAATCACCCATAGGATTCTCTTCAGGGTCTGGACATTCTCATTCTCTTGAACATCTGTACTGGGTCTCTGTTTTCTTCAATGTGCAGTTCAAGATTCTATGAACCTTGAAGGTTTTACAAGTTTAGGCCAGCATATTGCCTTTCTCCCTTATATCATAACCATCCTTGACATCCACTGTGAATGCTGTCTTCAGTGCAGAGAAGGCACCTGTGCAGCAGGCTGAGAAAGTATATTGTTTAAAAAGAGAGCTGTTTTCAGGCTGCCTCCCTTGCTATCCACACATATGTACACAATTGTGTAATTCTCTTTTTCTACAGTTTACCACAGCATTTTTCTGATTATACTGTAAAATCCGTCTGTTTGTGCTGTCCTTTGGAACTAGAGCTTCAGTCAAGGAAGGAAGGGCATATTATTTTATAAAATGTTACTTTGCATGTTATGGGGGGGGAGTCCTCATCTTCAACTTTTGTTATAGCTAGCTTAAAAACTAATTTGGCTTTTGTTGTTTCACTCACAAAAAATGTGTTTTAATAGAGCAAGTAATGAAACCAAATAAATAAGGCAAACCTAGGAAAAGCATACCATATCATTTTCTAACTGAGATTCTTGCTTTTGTGTCTCTTTAAAGCCAAGCCTGCATCAGGTTTCTTCATCCTTTGCTACAGGCCCGAGGCAAGATGTTGGAACAGTCTATGAACTTCGTACTTATGATATCATACCATCCAAACCAAATGAGTTTCTTGAAGTGGTCAGTAAAAGTATTAACGTTCGACTGGCTCACTCTGAGATGATTGGATTCTGGACAGTAGAGCTTGGGGCAATGAATAAGGCCTTTCATATTTGGAAATATGGTATGTACTGCACACTGTGCCTCTGTAACATATAAAAGAGAATATTTTTCTTCACACGAATGTAGATGCTTAATTGACATATAGTTCTATGTCATATAGCCATTCTCAACCATATGCCCTCCTGAGGGCTCCTGGCACATTTGAAGGAGATCACAGAATAGAAACAGTTCTTCACACACCACATTATAAGATTCATTACGTGCCTTATACAACCTTGATTCAACCTATACCGTATTTTATGTTGTGTTTATGGCCACGCCAAAAATGGTTGGGAGTGGCTGTTAGTATATGGACATTTTAGTGAGTAACTGTACATAGTCTAAACCTGGAATACTCTAGTTTTGGGGCAACATAGCCCCTATTCTGAAGATTTCAAACATTGTCAAAAGGCCAGATTTTAAATACTTAGTTCATGTGCCTTATACAACCTTGATTCGACCTATACAGTATTTCATGTTGTGTTTATGGCCACGCCAAAAAATGGTTGGGAGTGGCTATTAGTATATGGATATGTTGATGGAACACCTGTTTCCACCTAGATCTACTCGGATCACTCTAAACCTGGGATACTCTAGTTTTGGGGCAACATACGCCCTATTCTGAAGATTTCAAACATTGGCAAAAGGCCAGATTTTAAATACTTAGTTCACTCTCAGCCAAAATAGAGTTTTCAACTTGCCTGCCAGCCACAGAGATTGATGTTGTCCACCTCTGCTCCTGGCTTGAAGGGCACCCAGAGACCGGCATATAAGCAGACCATGTTGGGATACTCTAGTTTTGGGGCAACATACGCCCTATTCTGAAGATTTCAAACATTGGCAAAAGGCCAGATTTTAAATACTTAGTTCACTCTCAGCCAAAATAGAGTTTTCAACTTGCCTGCCAGCCACAGAGATTGATGTTGTCCACCTCTGCTCCTGGCTTGAAGGGCACCCAGAGACCGGCATATAAGCAGACCATGTTAGTTCACTAAGCTACCGGTAGGTGCCAGCCCAAGGACACGAGACCTCTGGTTCAAGAATTGCAGCTCCTTTCAGAAAGAATTTTGATCAGCAGCTATGGTGGAGAGGGTGCCAGGTAGGCCCAAGCACATTGTGTAGGCCTCCAAAATAGGAGACTAGGCAAACAAAAGTGTCTGTAAGCACTGTCTTTTGGGCTGGGATAATAGTGGTCAGAGGAGGCAGATCTATTTTAATTTATATACCACCTTCCCCAGCCCACCCCCATGAATGGGCCTCAAGGCAGTTTAAACTGCAGTTGAGTAAAGCAAACATAAGTAAAACATAAGTAAAATATAAAATGAATGCAAAAATAAATTCCTCATTCTTAATGCTATTTACACCTTTTAAAGTTTTTTTAAAAATCAAACTTTTAAAATACCTTTTATGTGATTTCATATTAGCTTCCTTGGTACTGTTTGAGTAGGAACGTTCTGTTTTCTCATAGATAAGTTGCACAAAGCAGAGGGTTGCCTTATCAAGTACCTATCTGGATTCCTGCTTATTTTAGTCTAACTATTCATAGAAATGTTACCCTCTAAGCAGGCATATCCATTTAACCGGGCTACACTTCTTAATATTTTTTTCTGTTTGATAGATAATTTTGCTCACAGAGCAGCCGTGAGAGAAGCTATAAGCAATGATAAAGAATGGCAAGAAAAATTGTCTGCAATTCGTCTACTTTTACATAAACAGGATATGGAAATTGCTTACTTGGTTCCATGGTGTAAACTTGAGACTCCACCAAAACCAGGTAAGTTATCTTATTCCTCAAATGGATATTCATTTAGTATTCAGTGAGTACAGCCTCACCAAAACATGGGGATTGTGAGGAGAGGTTTCCTGAAAAAAAAAAATTGCTGAAGAAGAAAATACTTAATGGCATTTACAACTTTTTCTTCAAAGTTTTTCAAAGAAATTACATAGGTTTCAGAACCAAAGTTCCCATGATTGCTGAGACTTACTATTCCCTTTTTAAGATGCGGAGGACAAAACGCTGTTGTGCTACTACCAAACAGACAAAACTTTTGGAGGCTAATTGTCATAAGTTAAGAAATTTCCATAGGCATTATCTGCTGCATAGTGAGTTGCTCTACATGGAACAGACAATGCCTATGGAGATTTCATATAGCAATTTGCTGCTAAAAGTTATGGGGTTTGTATAACTGCACAACAAGATTTTGGCCAGACTCTGGTGTTTTCTCTTTACTATTCTCTACTTCTCAACCTCAATCTACAAGGAATCTTAATAAGTTTTTCTTGCCAATTGGAAATTGGGTTTCCTTCTGTTAGTGGAAAATAATTTTGAAAAACCAAACTGCTCAAGAGTACATCAAGACTACTTATTTGCTAATACTACCTACCTATCATGGTACTTTTTTGCTGCTTTTTAGAATTTTTATAGTAATGGCACAATTAATATATCAAACCTCTGTTCTTCTTATGTTATTGCAGAAAAATACTGCTAATGGTTGTTGTGGGTTTTTCGGGCTTCTTGGCCGTGTTCTGAAAGTGGTTCTGCTAATGTTTTTCTTAAACTTTCTTTAATTTGCTGTTAAATGCAAAACATTCCTGATGCTGAAATTTTAAAATAAGTTGAAAAATAAAACAGCCATGTGTGCAACAGAGTGGAGAGAGAGAGAAAAAAACCCTCTAATTTTCTTTCTCCCTTCCCCATCTCTGGAGCCAAAACTAAAGAGATAATTCAAAACATGTTTTCTTTTTTGTATTGCATCAAGACCATAATGTCTGTAAGTGTGGCTGCATGTTCTGGTATCTTTCCATATCTGTAGTTTTCTCTAATAAAATTGTTTTATCCATTCCAAACCTTAAGAAAAAGATATATGTATTTTTTTAAAAACCCACTCTTCAATTACTGAATAACTTATTGAGGCAAATACAAGGCTTACAAGGGAGAATTAACAGCTATCAGTTCTTTGGTATAATTGTGCCAATGCAGTAGTTGGTAGGAAATGTAAATTGAGGGATAGAGAAATATATACTGTATGTCCATGAAGGGATGATTAGGAGCATCAGAGAACTTTAAAGTAAGATGAAATGGAAACTTAAAAATACTGTTTGTGAAGATATATAAAGCATAGCGCACTCCAAGCAGCCAACCTCTTACTTCATATTTTGCTTTGCTATCACGCTGATTATTTTTTTCTGCTAGGAGTTTATGAGTTGGTGACTTATCAGCTGAAACCAGGTGGGCCAGCATTGTGGGGCAGATCATTCAAAGCGGCGATTGATGCACATGTCAGCAAAGGTTATAGTAAACTGATTGGTGTTTTCCACACGGAATATGGATTACTTAATACAGGTATGTGATTTCAAAGTAATACAGGCATTACTTTCATAGTGAGGGCAGATTTTGGAGTTAAGAGAATCAGTACTGTGGTGGAAAACGCCATGCCAGTCATATCTTCCCCACTCCCACTACAGAAGGGAGTTGGGGGGTAGTGAAATATTTGTGTCTTGAGGCACAGGCTAATTTCAGTCAGGCTGTACAGAATTTAGCTCGTGCTTTGTAATGGTATGCATTTTGCCACTCACATTCTGTATGTGATGAGGCTGTCAAGACCAATGAGAAACAGAGAAGTGCTTAATATCTGGCTGTTGGAATACATTGGAGTGAATCATACAGCATCAAAAAAAGGGAATGCAAGCCAATGGAGCAAAGTTCTTGCTCTAGGTTCCTTGCACTTTAGGCTAATTCCCTCCACAGGAGATGGCAGGTCTTCCATGCTGGCCTCAGTTCCAGCATTCATTGATTAGAAATGAAGCAATGTCCCTATTTCCAGCACTCTGAGCATAGACTAAAGGTTGTTGGAAAACCTTTAGTAATACAGGAATCTGCCACTCCATTGGTCCGTCTAGCTGAGCATCATCTATGCTGATGAGTACTGTAGTTATTTATTTTTTGAAGTTGCAGATGAATGTTTCCCAGCCCTAGCTGAACAAGCCAGAGCTTGGACATGTTAATTTCAAATGCATAGCATATGCCCTTGAAAGCCCATGCTGATGTTGTATCCCATCACCCATTCCTGATACCACTGTACGGGTACTTAGCTCTACCTGCTCACTTTCCTGACCAGCTGGGCCCCTGACAAAGCTCTTATAGGCAAAGGAACCTCCTCTGCTTATTGGGGCTTGTGTTGCCAGGACCTGTCTGCATAGACCTGGGGACATACTGTACCCTCTAGGTCTTACCTTCTTCTTTTTACTTCTACTTCCTTAGTTAATGTGCTTTGGTGGTATGAGAATGCAGATAGCCGTGCAACTGGGAGACACCTTGCCCATGAAGATGCCAGGGTAGTAGCTGCTGGTAAGAAAAGCCTGTGTGTGTCTTTGCATATTTACAGTATTTCTTGATGCTGTTCAGAGTTTGATCCCATTTTCTCTTATATTGTATTTACTTTCAGTACGGGAGAGTGTTCAGTTTTTGGAATCCCAACGAAACATGCTCCTGATTCCTGCACCATTTTCACCCTTGAAGTAACTCTTTACACACTAAAGGGCAGCATATGGAGACATCCTTACTTTATGCATATGTTATTGCAATATCTGATGATCAGGATGGTTAATGGGAAATAAAACATGAATGAAGTATTTCGTGAGGTTATTCCCCCCCCCAAATTAAATGCACACAGCTCTGTTACTAATTTTTCACCCACACCATCCCTTTCTGCCTCTCTCTGGGATGTCTGTGAGATACATAGAGCGTACAGGGCAGTGAATAATAATGTCAAAAGGAGAACAGCAATACAGTGGACCCTTGACTTGCAGACGGCTTGACTTACAGACTTTTTGAGTTACAGACTTCTCTGGCCGCAAAATTTAGGTTTGACTTGCAGACTGAGATTTGACTTCCAGACCAGAAAAAAACCAAAATGGAACAAAAACAGCCTGTTATGGGATTAATCTGTTTTGAATGCACTGTAGGTCAATGGAGACTTGACTTACAGACTTTTTGACTTGAGAACCGCCTTTCAATACGGATTAAGTTCTCAAGTCAAGACCCCACTGTAGCTCCTTCCAGAGGCAGAAAAGAGTTTGAGATATAGATTCCTAGTACAGGGCAGTGAATAATAATGTAAAAAGGAGAACAGTAATAGCTCCTTCCAGAGGCAGAAAAGAGTTTGAGATATAGATTCCTGAAGCAAAATGTAGGAACAAAATACCCAAAACATAAAAAGCTGCTGCCCATCCAAGGAGAATGCAGAATATACGGTATATCCCGTAGGAGTGCTTTTGTGCCCAGTGTGGTGTAGTGCAGGAGTTGTCAACCCCCACTCTGCGGCCCAGTGGTGGTCCATGGGATTGCCGGAACTCAGCCATGGATATGGGTCTGTGCACACACCCCCCGCAAGCTCATGCGTAGGGCTTGTCACGCTTGCACACATGCATGACACCCACCACTTTCGCTCGGGGGTGCTCTTGCTCCCCTGCGCATGGAGCTCACCCCCCCCCAGCCGGTCCATAGCCCTAAAAAAGTTGGGGACCGCTGGTGTAGTGGATACTCTGGGGTGCCCTTGCTCCCCTGCGCATGGAGCTTACTCCCCCCAGCCAGTCCATAGCCCTAAAAAAGTTGGGGACTGCTGGTGTAGTGGATAGAGTGACAGGCTACGACTCAGGAGCCTGAGTTTGAATCCTTTCTCAACCATGGTAACTGGGAGTGTGGGACTGGTAAAACCACTCCTTAAATATCTCACTTATCATGAAAGCCCTGTTAGGGTCACTATAAGCTGGTTTTGCCTTGACAGCACACAACTAACCAGTAGTACTTTGGCTCTTCTAGTATTTATGACTGAGGCTTCTGTCATTTTAATCTTTAGAAGCAATGGCACTTAGTGTGTGCAGTGCTCAGTGTGTATATGCAGTGCGTAGATTGATAGGTATTTCTGTCATTTTAACCTTTAGAAGCAATGGCACTTAGTGTATATGCAGTGCGTAGATTGATAGGTAACTCTACAATTTTATATTTCTTAAGCCTCAAAATGTGATGTCACTCACACCTTGGATTTCACTCACTGGCTAAATACAGTCAAGGAAGTACAGTATCTGGAAGTTGAGTCATGGGAACTGGACTTCTTTCTTGTTAGGTTGAAACATTTTGCTACTCATCCAAGCAGCTTCTTCTGTCTAAGGAGAGTTGGTAGGAGATCCCTGATATATCCTCCACCTTGGTTTCAATTCCCCCTGGTCTGAATAGGCTCCTTAGAAGGACCAAGGACTGGGGGTAAGGGATAATCCCACTTCTGCAGTCCTTCTCCACCCATTGTCATGGGTCATT